CAGGAGAAAGAGCATTTGGTTTGGAGCCACAACATGAAGAAGAATCAACAGAGGGGGAGAAGAGAGATAAATGAATAAAGGACAAAATGGCATTGATAATCTTAATGTGGAATGTAAATGGACTCAATAATAAAACAACAAGGATTGGGATTGAACATGTGGAAAAAATAAATAAATTTGGACGTGATTTGCTTTCAGGAAATGCATATTGTGATGAAACATTCTGATCAATAAAAGGTTATTGAAAGGACTTTGTAGCCTCTGACTGTACAAAGAAAAGAGGCATAGTAATGTATACAAAAACCAGAATTAGATCCAAAACAATTATTTAAAGATGAGTAAGGAAGAATACTGATAATATAGATAACATCACAAGGAGAGAGAGAAAAAGAATATTAATAGATGTATATGAATGGAATGACAAAAAATCTGACTTTTAAAAGAGACGAGGAAATCTTATTTGAATATATGAATGAAAAGATAATTTTGATGGTAGATATGAATGGTGTAGCTTCCCTGGAATGGGACAGGACTAGAAGAAGCGATACAAAAGAAGGGAACCTACCTAAGGCCTTTTTCAGATGACAGAAAACCTAAGTCTAATTGATATGTGGAGAGAGAAACACCCACTGGACAGACAATTTACATTTTACTTGTCTGAGAATAATTCAGCGAGTTGAACAAACTCTGTCTGGACGTCTAGAGATTTGTACACTAAGGTAAAGAAGGTAGAAATTTTACCCAGGACATTATCTATCAGATCACAACTCTATTATTATGGAATTAAGAACAGAGCGAAATTGCTGATTCAGACTAAATGAGAATTTATTAATCAAGAGATATTAGAAAAGGGGGGAAATATTAAGAGATTGTTCTGAAATCAATCTGAATCAGGAGACAATTTGAAAGTGGTATGGGATGCAAGTAGAGGAGTCTAAAGATTTTTTTTTTTAGAAGAAGCTTTTTAATAATCGCCTCTTTCAGCGGGTCTGGGAAGGCTTCCTCACAGAGAGAAGCATTCACCACCCCATGGAGCCCATCACCCTGCCCTTCCTGGCTCACTTTTATGAGCCAGGATGGGCAAGGATCAACGAGACAGGTGGTTGGTTTCACTCGTCCAAGCAGCCTGTCCACATCCTCGGAGGTAACAGATTGGATGAGCAAGTAAAAAGGATGAGCAAGTAAAATACTCAGTGATACACTGGACTACTGATATCAGTCATAAAATAATAATAATAATAATAATAATAATAATAATAATAATAATTATTATTATTATTATTATTATTATTATTATTATTATTATTATTTCTACCCCGCCCTCCCCAGCCAAGGCCGGGCTCAGAGCAGCTTACAAGCAATAATAAAAACAAGTTGAATGATTACAACTTAAAAACAAAATTAAAATACAACATTAAAATATTGAAACATTAAAATATTAAAATGTAGCATCATTGCAGGAGGAGAAGGAAAAGAAAAAAGAAAGAGAGGGATGTGGGAAAATGATTGCTTGTACATGAGAGCATGAGCAAAGTTCTTATTGTTACAGGGTGATTTCGTAGCTAGAAGCATCCTTGGAGCATGAACAGCGCGTGAACAGCTCGTGCTGTCCTATATGATTGGCTAACGTGGCATGGCCTGATGTTCGCATAGTCTAGTGCGAAGGTTCTTATCTGCTTGCTAGAACAAATTGCTTAGCTTGTATTTTTGTATCTTTCTTATTTCACACAATAAAAGCTGTGCTGCATTAGCCCTAGAGCAGCCATATTTCTCTCTTGGTGTGAGACTGATTTTCCTCTGAATGCCGAGCTGCAACTCGACAATTGGAGTTGCAGCTCGGCATTCAGAGGAAAATCAGTCTCACACCATGATAGGTTCCGAAATATGGCTGCTCCTAGGGCTAATGCAGCACAGCTTTTATTGTGTGAAATGTGTGAAATCAGAAAGATACAAAAAATACAAGTCAAGCAATTTGTTCTAGCAAGCAGATAAGAACCTTCGCACTAGACTATGCGAACATCAGGCCATGCCACGTTAGCCAATCATATAGGACAGCACGAGCTGTTCACGCGCTGTTCATGCTCCAAGGATGCTTCTAGCTACGAAATCACCCTGTAACAATAAGAACTTTGCTCATGCTCTCATGTACAAGCAATCATTTTCCCACAGAGGGAGGGAATCAAATTGGCTCCAAGCCAAAGGCCAGGCATAACAACTCTGTCTTACAGGCCCTACGGAAAGAAATCAGATCCTGCAGGGCCCTGGTCTCATGAGGCAGAGCGTTTCACCAGGCCGGAGCCAGAGTTGAAAAGGCCCTGGCTCTGGCTGAAGCCAATCTAACTTCCTTAGGGCCTGGGACCACTAGGGTGTTGCTATTTATGGACCTTGAGGCTCTCCATGGGGCATACCGAGAGAGGCTTTAAAGGTCAAAACCAGCACCTTGAACCTGACCCTGTACTCCACCGGGAGCCAGTGCAGCTTAAAAAGCGCTGGGTGAATATGCTCCCATGGCAGAGACCCCATGAGGAGCCTCGCTGCAGCATTCTGCACCCGCTGGAGTTTCTGGGACAGCTTCAAGGGCAGCCCCGCGTAGAGCGAATTACAGTAGTCACGCCTGGAGATGACCGTCACATGGATCACTGTGGCCAGGTCGGGGCGGGAAAGGTAAGGGACCAACTGCTTCATGCGGCGAAGGTGGAAAAATGTCCCCTTGGCTGTTGCTGTAACTTGTGCCTCCATGGAAAGGGAGGCGTCAAGGATTACACCGAAACTCTTAACGGAAGGCAATATAGACATGGAAGCATGGGAATGATTGTGGAGTATGGATATGAAATTCACAGCATGCTATGGTTTAGTAGATAATTATATGAAAATGATATCTTGTTGGTATCTAACAGCGAGTAAACTGGCAAAAATGTATAAATCTAAATCAAACAAGTGTTGGCAATGTAACGAGAAAGAAGGTTCTTATTATCATATGTGGTGGTCTTGTAGTAAGGTTAAAAGTTACTGGGAAATGATCTACAATTAATTGAAAAGGATGTTCAAAATAACTTTTGTAAAAAAAACACAGAAGAGCTTTCCTTCCTTCCTTCCTTCCTTCCTTCCTTCCTTCCTTCCTTCCTTCCTTCCTTCCTTCCTTTCTTTTTCTTTCTTTCTTTCTTTCTTTCTTTCTTTCTAAATATACTTTTATTAAAGATTTCTTACATTTTCTACAGATTAGTTTCATTTGCTGAGACATTAGTGTTGCATTAGGAAGAAAAGGGGGTAAGAGGTGGAGGGGGGAATGGTGAGTCAGGTAGGGTCGGGTGCCAATGTTTCACCTCAGATCATATAAATCTTTCGCCTTTTGAAGCTTTTCTTTTGGGAATGAAAGGGACAGAACTACCCAAATTGTATAGAAATACATTTATTGGAAATACATTAAGTAATTAAAGGCAACCTGCAATGTTATACAATGTGAGAATGAGACATTACGATACTAACAATATGGAGAAATGGCAAAAGTTACAGGAAGAATAAGAAATCGAGATAACAAACTTTTTATAAAGGAATGGAAATGGTTTATTGAATATTTACAGATAAGTCAAAAACAGGTAAAAACATTAGGTGGATTATGGTAATAATGTGCAGTTTCATAAGAATATATACAGGTATTTAAAGTAGATAATTAAATGAGCAAGTTAAATAAATTGGGATATGCAGAAGATATTAAAAAAATAAATTTAAGGAACCACAGAAAGAGGAGAAAGGAAGTCAAACTTTGAAATGTTAAAATGATTGTAAAACTAATGAAATCTATAAACTTGAAAAGTATAGATTAAAACTTCTTTAAAAAGAAAAAAGATGGAAAAGTTTCCTCAAGTAGCAAGGCATCTCGCCTTGCTTTCTCCATCTGCTTAGCTTCCCAAGGACCCACCTCTTGAACCACTGAATGTCTCTGGCTAATGGCTACCACAGTGTATGAAAATCCTTTTTTCTGGGGTGGCAATGATATGTTGGCTACTGATGGCTAAAGCAGAATTGTCTTTCTTCAAGCATCTGGTTTTCAGAAGTTTGTAACCTTCATGAAATCTCCCATGGGTGAATACATTATCGTATTTACGATGATCGTCTTTACTGTGTTGACACTGCTGATTTTCCTTCTATGTAAGTACATAATTAGCATCCTTTCAATTAATGTCACGGGCTTTCCTTCAATGCCAACAGCATTTCCAAAAAGAGATGGCAGGATCCACCTTCCATTTACCCCATTTACCCTCTCTCTTTGATATCACGGAGGGAGTTACAGCTGTCACCCAGTGAGAGCAATGACACTGTTTTGTTCTTCCCGAATAAGTGAGTTCCCGCACTAGGAATAAACGCCTAGGCTAACACAAGTCCCTGGGACACCCTGGACAATTCCCTTTCCCAGTTGCCATTCTCTGCTCCTTTCCCAACTAATCCTCATTTGCTAAGGGAGAGCCCCCATTCCTGATCCTCACCACCCTGCCCTCTGCTAGGGCTCCAGTCCCCTGAAGGAAAGTGCTTGGGGAAAACAGGCTGCAGAGGATAAGGCCATGGCCAAAGTGGGTGGGTCCAGAGCCTACCTAAATATCGAGATATATGCAGGGCCTTTTTCAGCCGGAATTCATCAGGACCCTGTTCTGGCCCCTCTCAGGTGGGCGCCATTGCCATTTTAAGAGAAGAAGGGAGGCATTCATGCTGAGTTCCAGCACCTCTTTTTGTAGAAAAATAGCACTGGATAGATGAGCCCTTGACCTATTTGCAGACCTAATTCATTTTTAAAGGGCACTCAAAAGTAAGCAAATCTCAGGTGGAGGGAATCAAATGATCCAAGAATTTGCATATTTTAAGCATGTGGCAGAGCATGAGGCAGCCTGGCAAATGAAGACTGTAGGACAAAGAGGACAGGTCTATCTAGACAACCAAAAACCTAAAGCTCTCAAAGGAAGGCCGAACCATCTGATGACAGAAGTAACAGGCCAAATTGAAACAGCAGCTGCCCTGCTGGTCTGAAGTCCTACCAAGAGCTGAGAGCAGGAAATATTAATAGAAGTCATATTCATGGTTTTGTTGATTTGATTTCTTATTTGCGTTACAAGTCATCAATTTAAATTCAATATTAAAAGCAGTTTGAAACCAAGTATTCCCTCCCCGAGGTAGTCAGACATTTTAATCATTTCTTTTCTACCTACTTCATCCTTAGATCAAAAGGAAGTAAAAAAAAGAGACGAGTTTCAAATGGCAATAGATATGATTCGGACCTTTGTTGTTGGGCTTGATTCAATCCATGAAGACAAGGATGGTAAGCATTTTTTTATCACGGTTTCATTGCTCAGCAAGAAGAAAAGCAGATGGTTGTGATTCTCACATCCCCCCACTAGAAATGCTGTCCTTCCCTATCAAACTGTAATTCACAATGTTTGTGCTGCTGCAAGCTTTTAGCACTGGCACAAGGGAACTTTGCCCCCACTTCTCCCTGCATGCCATCACCAAAGCTGCTCTGCAGGGTGGGGAGAAAGTTCAGAACAGAATGGAGGGAAAGGGGCGGAAGATTGCATTGCACAAGGAGAAATTCCTGAGCTTACAGAATGCCCTCTTTAGAACTATGTGGAATGCAACCCAATATTCATCAGGAAAAGAGTTTGGGTGCCTGTATTTTCTTAGATTTCAGAAAGCATAATAGAAAACTGTAAAGTAATCTTTGCATATTTGGCTTTACTGTGTGACTCAGTGGGGAATTGTTTTGTGACCCTGTGATTCCCAGCAGAAAAGGAGGACAAAGGAGAGGAACATTAGAGATACTTCATGAGCCACTTTCAATATGAGAATAGGATAGTGGATTGCATGGGTCTTTGGTCTGATCCAGCTGCAGGGGTCTTCTGAGGCTTTTCATTGGTGATCTCAGCCACAGAGAATCAAGTCTGTCCTCATATTCATAAGAACCCCATTCTGGAGCTCTGCTTCTTGTTTCAGGCTAGAGTGCTTGAAAATGGTTGAAAATGGTTTCTTAATATTTGCAGATTGTTATTTCAGATACTCTTTTGCCTTGAACTATTTCAAATCTTTTAGACTTCGGAATACTTGCTGTAGCTCAAAACGTATCAGAGGAAATGCGGTATCTTGCCAACAAAAATGATGAACTGCAAAAAGTAATTGGTAAGCTACCCTGTGATGCTGAAGAATTGTAGTGCAGTGGGAACCTGCCCTGATTCTGCCCCAGCTAAAAGCCCCTCCTCTAGCTGAAAACTCTTAAAGCCAGAGCAGAGTGCTGCCCTCCTTTGCACCTGGCCACCCTAGGGAAACATCAGAGACACTCAGTTCAGCTCTCCTGAACTTTTGAATTGACTCTATGGTTAGGAAAGAAAAGACTTTGCCATTCTTTGCTATAACAGAGACAATCAAAACAGGTCAGCTGAAAGACCTGTCCTTTATTATTTTCACTCATGAGAGCCCCGCCTCTGCAGAGACAATCAAAAGAGGTCAACTGAAAGAGAGAGATTCATGAGCAGCCCTTCAAAGGCAACTTCCGCCAACTTGGTCAGAGAGACTGCTGGGCAGTGGGGTGGTTGGTGCAACAGCAAAATCTCTCTCCTGATTCACAAGCCCATCATCAGAAAGTGTAAAGTGATTATAAAATTGTCTATAAAGCTTTAGATGCGAGAGCAAAGAATGGGAATGAATGCATATCACATCACTTGTACATAAAAAGCAAGCTAAAGATGTTCAGCACCAAAACGCACATTTTGTGAGAGTCGTATAATGCCATTTCCCCTCTTTCTCTTTGACCTTTGGAAATATGATTGCTTTTAAAGACATTGTTCCAAAACCAGGTCTAAATCCTGATTGACATGGATCTAGAAAAGTAGTTTTCTCCAAGAGCATCTGGATCTGGTCCACAACCACCCACTCAAGAACCTTGCCCAGGAAGGGGAGATTAGCAACCGGCAGGCAGTTACTTAGATTTTCTGAGCACAGCGAATATTTCTTCAGGCCTGCCTTCAAGCAGGCTGGGACCAGCCCCTCTTGTAAAGAGGCATTAATCACCTTTCTAGTCCAGCCAGCTGTCCCCTCCCTGCTAGTTTGTATCAGCCACAAGGGGCAGGGTCCAGTGTACAAGTGGTTGTCCTGAAGGATCCAAGGACCTTGTCCACATTCTTGAACCTTGTTGTATAACTGCCCGGGTCCGGCACGTTTCCCTGCGCCAGAAATCCCGGCCGGCAGCAGAGCAGCAGCGTGTGCTTGATGTGTGAGTGAAGAGAGAGTCCAAACGCTGTTTGTGCCTAATCTAAACAGCTTCATTTACACAGACAGATAAAACAAACAATCCCGTCAGAGACCGGAGCTATAGCATTTATCTCTGACTCTTCTCCGGTGAGAAGTGAAAGTAACTTCACAGGCAAAGAACTCAGCTCCTGGATGCAGGAAGCTCCGCCCCAGATGCAGGACACATAGAGGTTAACCCTATAACCACCAAACCTTACCGACTGAAACATGCCCAACACAATGGAAACAGACTCTGCTCTGGACATTCTTTGAGATTTGTCTGCTGTAATAGCAGGGTGGGTCAAGATGCCAGGGGATGCAAGCAATTTTATCCACAAATGCTTTGCAAGCAAGTCACAGAAAGCTGCTTTCAGTTGTATCATCTCCTTTGGGCCAGACTGTAGCAGGCCCCACACTACCTGGGAAGGAAAGCTCTGCTGGATAGCACAATGGAGGAAGCAAAGCAAGGCTTCTTTGTATCCTTCACTGCCACTTGGAAGGTTCGAGGATGAACCCTCACCAGTAGTTGAATGCATTCAATGAGATTTTTCCTCCACTTGCGTTCAAGCCATCTCCCAACTTCTTTTTTCACCCTCTCCTCTGCAGTATACCAGGGGGCCAAACAGGCTGCATAAAGCGGGAGTGGGCACTCAGGGACAATCGTGTCCATGGCCCAAGCCAAGGCAGGGGGTCTTCTGGGTAGTTGTGCCCACCTTGTGGCACTCCCTCCCCCCAGATGTCAAGGGGGAAAAGCTACTATCTGACTCTCAGAAGACATCTGAAGGCAGCCCTGTTCAGGGATGTTTTAAATCGTTGATTCTGTTTTAATTTTTTGGAAGTAGCCCAGAGTGGTTGGGGGGAAACCCAGTCAGATGGGCAGCATATACTTTGTTGTTGTTATTTGGTTGTTCCAGAGATCAGCCAAAACTCAGCAGGAGCACCTGTCAGATCAGCTGGAAAATCCCCCAGAGCCATTTGGAAGGCCACTGGATTTGGAAGCCCACTAGATCCATCCTGTCAGCTCCAGCAGGGAGAATGCTTGGCAGCAAACTGGGTGGTAAACCAGCAGAATCCCTCATCTGTCCCAGTTGCCCAATGCCAGGAACCTACATTCTAGATTCCCCTCCCCCCTCCACAACTCAACAGAGGGCCTGTAGAGAGAAAGAGAATTTTGATAAACCACAACTACTCCCCCTTCCCAACCTTCAAGTCTGCCCTGATGCTGCCCTGAGTATCCAGGTGGAAACAAGTAGGTGAGGTTCTTGACTGCACTCCCTGTTCCAGCTATGCCCATCCAGGTATTTACTGCAGCATCAACATGGGTTGAAGAGTTAATGTTTTTCTTGTTTTAAGATTTCTGAGCTTCCTAGATGAATATATGTTATCATGCGGCGACAGAAATGAACTTAACAAAAATAATTGAAATCTGCACAGGCATACAAGGTGGTTCCCATTAAATTCCCTATCTTGTTTTCTTTTTCTGACCTTCCTGCATATCTGGCTTGACTCGAAGAGCACCTTATTGAAAACTTTAATGAGGGTTGGTTTATATATCAAAGAACAATGTATTTGCTTTCTCGTGACCAAGACTCATGGGCAGATTCCAAAAAAAAATGTGAGAGGGAAGGTGCCCAGCTCCTTTCTATGGAAACATATCAAGAACAGGTGAGCATCAAAGCTAAGTATAGGAATGGTAGGGGATCCTCTTGAGCCAAAGGGCTCCTATCATCACTATCCATTTAGGAAGGTTACATCTACCTGTACGCAGCCAAGACAGCAATTCCATCAGTCAAGCCAAGGTGTGGGAGGGGCAGGGAGAGCTGCTACCATCTGGGACTCAATAAGGTTTCTTGGAGCTGCTGAGCTCTAATAGAATGAAGCTGGCAGTCAGGAAGGAGATCTTGGAGGAGGAGGAGGAGGAGGAGGAGGAGGAGGAGGAGATACTTCAGAGGCATCTATCTCTTGGATTCTCTGTAAATTCTTCCTCTGCTCTTTGAGATGTATTGAGTCCTTAGAAACAAACGTTTCCCTCACCACACTAACCTTCTGGCAGGAGAGTATCATGGAGATGACTCTAGAGGAGCTTGCAAGGTATATCCTTTTCCCAGCCCTTTAGCTCTGGCACAGGGGCTACTGGGGTGCTGCAAGGCACAGACATGGGTGAGATCCCATCATAATGCCATCAAGCATACCACAACTGGACTGATTCCAGTGTCTCTGGAACCAACCATCAAACATGGATGCAGAAATTGGAGTATTTGACACACAGGTCATTGTCCTGCTAGGTGGTTCCAAGACCAACTGTTCTCTGGCACAGTCATTTACAGTATCTGGAAATTATAACTCTGTGTCATGACTGGAAGACATATGTAGCCAGTCTCGGTGAGGGCAGGTGAAGTTCCCCTTCACTACAATATTTCCTCTTTGGGATTCTTCCTTGATTCCATCACCATCATCTTCGTCATTCATCATCATCATCATCACCATCAGCATCATAATTTTGATCAGGGGGACAATACCACATCCAGTATATGAAATTATTATTGGAGATGGGAATACAATGTATAGTTTTGATCACTTTCCCGCCAAAATTTGGATTGGGTCTTCAAATGTGATACCTTCTTCTTTTAAAATGTGTTTGTTTCATGTCTGTTGAATTTCTGTAAAGGGCTATAGTCTCCCTGAGAAAGGGACACTGTCTTAAAAGATTTTATTTGTTCTTTCTCAACACCCCTACCCTAGAATTTTATCAACGAGCAAGTACAAAAGCGTAATAAGTTTTTTTGGTTTGGAGTCTTCAAAGACAAGGCAAAGAAATGGAGATGGCTGTCAGGAATAGAGGCTATAATCACGTAAGTTTCTGCAGAAACATATGTTAATGGCCTGCATTCCAAAAAGTTGCAGATTCTGTTTACATAATTCATTCTTTCCCTTTCCAAATATATTTTGCTATGCAATTTTCTCTACTACCAAACATCTACATATGTACTTCTCCACATCATTGCCCAGATGAGCGGCTGCTGCTTCTCACTAGGTTAGAGAGGCAGGAAGGCTACTCTTCCTGCTTCTCTAACCTAGTGAATGTGGTGATTCGGAAGAGGCTGAAGGCATTCTTATAAATGGTTTGTGCTGATTATCTCAGCTTCAAAAGGACTTGCAGGAACCTAAAGCTGAGCAACACTGCCAGCTGGCAGTTTAAGACACTTCATGGTTCCCTTTAAGTACAGTGGTGCCCCGCAAGACGAATTCCTCGCAAGACGAAAAACCCGCTAAACGAAAGGGTTTTTTGTTTTTTGAGGTGCTTCGCAAGACGAATTTCCCCATGGGCTCGCTTCGCAAGACGAAACGTCTTGCGAGTTCTTGCGGGTTTGTTTCCTTTGTCTTAAAGCCGCTAAGCCGTTAATAGCCGCTAAGCCGCTAAGCCGTTAATAGCTGCTAAGCTGCTAAGCCGCTAAGCCGTTAATAGCCGCTAAGCCACTAATAGCCGCTAAGCCGCTAATAGCCGTGCTTCGCAAGACGAAAAAACCACAAGACGAAGAGACTGGCGGATTAATTTCGTCTTGCGAGGCACCACTGTATCTAACAACTCTTTTCAGCTTGTGTGGATGGATGTACAAGGTCAGAGTAAGATCTCACTCACCCACAGCTTGGTAGTAGAACAGAGAACTGGTCTGGCATTTATTACCAAGGCTGCTTTCAATTTTGCAATGTCTCCTGGAACAAAATCCAATGACATTCATCTTCATTGATGCACCCAATACCAACCACGAATCCTTTTTGACAAAGGTATTGAGTAAACTTTACAAACAGGCAGTGGGGTTGTATAATACTAGCTGGGAAATTAAACCCTGTATGCCAGCGATTCCCAGTTAGCTAAGTACTGCAGACCCCTTCATTTTCAAAAGCCACGCCATGGGCCACCATACCTTTGAACATTTTGATATCTCTGTGGCAGTTTTAGTTATGTGAATGACACCATGAAACCCCTGGGTGGGTGGTCCGTGGACCACCAATTGGGAGCCACTACTGTATGTGATCTTAGACTTGATCACCCAAACATCTCATGGGAGTAAAAAACACCTACTATTACTAGTAATATCAATTTAATAGATTCACAGAGAGTTAAAAATGAGGGAGTTATAGAATACTTTTATTACAGAATTTTAGTGCTGTGTAGTGGGACTTGATTCAGTACACAATGGACACTGGAGAATGCAAGTGACAATAAGAGTGTTAGATTTAGATAAGATATATATGTGAGAGAGATATCGTTTCAATCAACCCTATTATGGCTTTGTGGTTATAGAATTAATTTTGTAATTCATTTGAAGACATAGCTATTTTTGCTTCTGTATAGTGTCATTGCTATCCTCATTCATGGGGTGGGTGATGGATGTGAGATGAGGTGGATGAAGGCAGATGCAAATCTAACATGGTTTTAATATGCTCAGAACAATCACTACTGTGCTAACTCTGCTACTTGAGAGTAAGGATCTGTCAACACTCACAACGGTCCAGAGCAGATCTGAGGAGGATGTGGGTGCATATGGAAAGGAGAGAGGGCCAGTTCCTTTGCAGAAATGGAAATCCTGGCAATAGCAGAAGTACTGCATTGGATACTGCCCAAACTAAATTGACTGAAAGTTCTTGTGTGTACCTCTGAGCCTTCCAAAGTGACAGCCTCACTTTTTGTAGTTTCCTATGAGAAATCATTTCGTGTGAAAAGAAAAGAGGCAGTCTTGACCCACAGCTGCTGTTGTTTTCCTTACATGGTTAGAATTCTAAAATCTGGGGAGAAAAATCCATCCCAATTGTGGGTGGATGTTAAGAGAGAAAGAGCTGAACATCTTTTTAATGGTAGAAGGCATGGGGAGCACATGAGGAAGTAGACATCCAATCTTGATTGATCAGTGCTGCTCTTTTCTTTTCAGGTACTGGAAACCAGATGAGCCTAAAAACGAAGACAGAAACCACTGTGCTGCAATAGGCCTTGATTGCGGATCGAATTGCTGGATAGCATTACACTGTGAGCAACGCTTAGGGTACATTTGTAAGAAGGTGCCTGATGATGCTTGGCTCTAAGAAGACACTTTAGAATGAAAGAAACTGGATCGCATGATCACTACACAAAAACAAAAACAAGAGATCACCCCACCCTGCTGTTTTAATGCACAATCCACACTCTGCCATCTAGATTATAGGACTCTTTGGCATCAGCACTCAAAAACACCTTGAAAAGACCTAATTCTGCAAGCTCAAACGTAGATGGCTATGAAAATAAAGAATGGAAGGGTCCAGTCATAGCTTGTTTTCTGTTTAATGTATTTATTTGCAATGCATACCAATATTTGTTTCCTTATTCTGTGTGTTTGATGTTCCATTGCCCCTTCTGATCTCCATGGTTGCTACCTTACAAGGCACATAAGGACAACCATGCATGCTGTCAGGGAACTGACATCAGAGCCACGGGAGAAGGAGAGGCTCTCCGATTCTGCAGGTGAAGGTCCTAGCACTAGGGGGAGCCTCAGCTTGGTGGAAGGGGAAGGTAATCCGCGTAACACCAAGGGTCCAGGAGAGCAATGGGGAGAGGAGGTGGAAGGGCTCCGGGATTCTTCCCTGGAGGTCAGTGAAGAGAGCCCAGAGACTCCGCTACCCACGCCCACCCTGCGCAGGAGACTCCCGCGCAATGAGAGGCGGAGACGATTGGGTGTCAAACAGCTCTTATGCTGGCAGAGGTTTAAGAAACGCCCACAGACAGATTCTGCCAGTGACTGAGGCAGCCACGCGGAGATGGGCTGCGCAGTTCGAAGGGTTTAACCAGGCAACCAAGCGCCCAAACGGGGTCGGCTTACACACGAGTAACTCCAAACCACTACAGCAATCTGTCTGTCCTCGAAAGTTGCTCGTGCGCAACAAGCAGGCGGCATCATGAGTAAGACCGGAGAAGTCGGAGCCACGAAAGGGGCGGCTGGAGGCCAATCGCTGGAGGAGAGAAACCGCGATTTGGAAGAGCATATAGCCATCCTGACAGCGAGGCTAGACGAACGACGATCTCAAGATGCCCAGGGGAAACCCACCCCCATAGCAAGGAAGGTACCGGGACTGGTGCACAAGTTTGGGGGGAAACCTCAAGATTATGGGGCGTTTAGAACAGAGATAGAATATGCCTTGAAGCTGCAGCAGAGCGATTTTGAAAATGATGCAGCGCGGGTTGCCTATATTGTGGGGCACCTGCAGGACGGGGCTAGAGAGTGGATCAGGCCGCTTATGGCGACACAAAATGATGCCATGGAGGATCTCCCGAAATTCTTCCAGGCAATGGACGCAATGTTCTCGAGTGATGTGCAACAAAGTGTGACCAAACGAGAACTGATGAACTGTAAGCAGGGAGACGGGTCAGTTAGAGACTATTGGTCACGCTTTGCAATGATAGTTCACCGTCTGGGGTGGCAGCTGGACTCGGAGCCCATACAAATGTTATTTGAAGAAGGGTTGGCACCAACGGTCAAAGATGAGCTTTCGCGTGCACCCCACCCACAGTCTATGGACCTGCTGACCAAAGCTGCCCTTGTGATTGGTGTAAGACAGGAAGCGTGGGCTCAAGAGAGGCGGGAAGGGAGAGAGCAGCGTTGTCAGGACTACCGCATTCCTAAAATACCAAGGCAGCCTTCCCCGCCGGCGGAGCCAATGGAAATAGGTGGTGCGCGCGCCCAGGAGGTTTCAATCTCCAGCGAGGGTCGCAGAAAGGAGGGGAAGGATGTAAAAACGACCAAGAAATGTTTCCTGTGCCAGCGACCAGGACATTTTGCCAGAGTCTGCCCGCAAAGAAAGGCCTGGCAAGGAATGGTGGGGGCCGTGGGGGGTGAGGAGGAGGAGCAACAGACCCCGGAGCAGGGAAACGGAAACGCTTGGCTGCCAATCAGCGGGCACAGCAGCCAGGCCAACAACCAGTGAATGTGCCCAAACTAGATTCTCCAAGAGCAGCCATAGCCATAGAGGTGGTGCTAGAACTCCCGAATGGGCACCCAGTCAAGGTTCAGGGAATGCTGGACTCGGGAAGCTCATGCAACTTTTCCAGCAAGGACTTTGCCTTAGAGCATCGGCTTCACTTGCTACCTTTGGATGTCCCCCTGCAAGTTACCACCATCGATGGGAGGGAACTGATTGGGGGGGAAGTGACCCACCAGACCCCACCGATGAGAATGAGAGTGGCTAGGCACTCAGAGACGATCGCCTTTCACGTTGCCTCATTAGCGGGCCCCCCAATAATATTAGGAATGAGCTGGCTAGCGCAACATGATCCCGTGGTGGCATGGCATCAGAGGACAGTCAGCTTTGGGTCAGACTACTGCCTGCAGCACTGCCTAGGAGGGGAAACGCCTAGGATGAGTGTAGCCAGAGTGGCAAGTATGGCAGCAGAACGGAAAGGGGAGGTGCCGCCACAATATGCTGATCTGAAGGTTTTTAGTGAGAAAGAGGCAGATAGGCTGCCCCCCCACAGGCCGTTTGACTGCCAAATCAATTTGCTCCCAGGGGCGCAGCTGCCAGTGGGTAAGCTGTATGCCATGTAAGACAGGGAGATGAAGGAGTTACGGGAATTTATTGACAAGAACCTAAAGAGAGGATTTATAAGAGAATCGAAAGCAGTGGGGGGAGTCCAGTATTTTTTGTGGACAAGAAGGACACGGATAAGCCCAGGCTTGTAGTGGACTTTAGGGCGGTCAATTTGGTGTCGGAACCCGTAACTTTCCCTATGCCCAGAATTGACGACATTCTGACGAGAGTGAGGAAGGGAAAGATTTTCACCAAACTCGATCTAAGGGGGGCTTACAACTTGATCAGGATGAGGGAGGGGGATGAATGGAAGACTACCATGTTCACACCCCTGGGGGCCTTTGAATATTTCGTTATGCCTTTTGGATTACAGTCAGGCTCCGCCTGTTTTCAAGCGGTCATGCACCACGTGTTAGGGTCTCTGCTTTACAAGAACTGTGTGGCCTTCCTGGACGACGTCTTGATTTATTCGGAAAACGAGGAGCAACATGTGCGAGATTTCAGGGAAGTGCTACAACGATTGCAGAAACACCAGCTGTGGGTCAAGCTAGAGAAATGTCAGTTTCATGCCCGAGAGGTGGAGTTCCTGGGGTACAAGTTGTCTGACAAAGGCTTAGCGATGGACCCAAGCAAGGTGCAAGCAGTACTGGAGTGGAAACCCCCAAAGACACGGAAGGACGTGCCGAGGTTCCTAGGTCTCACCAACTTCTACAGGAAGTTCATCAAGAACTTTGCCCACTTGACAGCACCAATCACGGACTGTCTCAGTAGTAAAAGGAAGTTTGTGTGGATGGAGGAAGCCCAGCGGTCCTTTGAAAGATTGAAGAAGGCATTCGCGTCGGAAGAACAACTATTACACGTGGATTTGTAGAAACCACTGAGGTTGGAGACAGACGCGTCAGACAGCTATCGGGGCTGTCCTTTTGCAGCCAGGATTGGGCAAGCAAGAATGGAAACCGTGTGCCTTTTTTCTCGAGGAAGCTGAGCAAGTCGGAACAAAACTATACCGTGTATGACCGAGAATTTCTTGCAATCTATGCTGCCTTTCGTCGGTGGCGCCATCTGCTGATAGGGGCACAGCACAAGATCCAGGTGTGTACAGATCACAAGAACTTGGAATACTGGAGGACAGCGCGAGTGCTCAACCAGAGACAGATTCGCTGGGCGCAGGAATTCTCAAAGTTTTCTTTTGAAATCCAGTATGTGCCAGGAGAGCAAAACGTGAGAGCAGACGCTCTTTCGCGAAAACCAGAGTACTTCGAAGGAGAGGGGCCGCCGGAGACACGACATGTCATACCTGAGGACCGATGGGTGTGTGGGGGAACTCTAGTGGGCACGAGAGAACTGGCAGGGCTTACTAGGAACGATGAATTCGCCCGGACAAAAATCAGGGAACTCCAAAATGGGAGGGGAGCACCAGAAGGGTTTGAAGAGAAGGAAGGGGTGTTGTACTATAGGGGGGCAATGTACGTACCGGGGGGTTCTAAGAAGAAGGGTACTCAAACAACTACATGACACCCCCACAGCGGGACACTTTGGACAACACAAAACTATGATGTTGGTGACAAGACAATTCTGGTGGCCAAGGGTGAGGGAAGATGTACGGGAATATGTACGAGGGTGCGATCGCTGTCAAAGGGCCAAAGGGGAGCGCACGGTACCAGCAGGTTTACTGGAACCCTTACCCACACCAAACAAACCCTGGGAGGTGGTGTCTATTGATTTTATGACGGATTTGCCCAAATCAAGGGGGAAAACCGCAGTAATGGTAGTAGTCGACTTGCTAACCAAAATGTGCCATTTCATAGCCTGCTCACATGCGGTGACGGCAGAAGAAACGGCACGATTGTTTGTAGAGCACATTTTTAGGTTGCATGGCGCCCCCTTGAGGGTTCTCTCCGACCGCGGAAAACAACTTACTTCCCGGTTCTGGAGGAAGCTCATGAGCCTGCTGCAAGTCGAGGTGAGTTTCTCGACAGCAAGACACCCAGAAACCAATGGGCAAGGGGAAAGGGCAAACAGTATACACCAGCAATACTTGCGCTGCTACGTAAGCGAGAGGCAGAATGATTGGGTAGAGAAGTTAGCGCTAGCGGAATTTGCATACAATAACGCTGAACATGTGTCTACGGGAATGAGTCCGTTTATGGCCAACTATGGGTGTCATCCCAGGGCATTCCTGGGTAGTGAGGAACAAAGCTGGAGTGTGCCCGCTGCTGAACAGTTTGTGGAAGAAATGGAAGCTCTACATCAACACCTTAAGATGAACCTAGAGAGGGCCAAGGCGAGTTACAAGAAGCAAGCAGACAAGCACCGCAGGGAAGGGGAAACCATACGGGTGGGGGATCGAGTGTGGTTATACACTCAAGGGTTACCCTTTAAGGGAGGGTGCAAAAAGTTGCAGCCTCGACGGCTGGGGCCATTTGAAGTGACACAACAGATAAACCCCGTGGCATTCAAGCTCAGGTTGCCCGACAGTATGAAAATACATCCTGTGTTCAACAGGTCCTTGCTCTCACCACACAGAGAGGGGCGGGAGTTCGTGGGGTGGGAAGTAGAAGTTATGCCACAACCACAGGTAGAAGAGAGGGAACACCAAAGCTCGGCCGCGGAAATAGTTGATTCAAGGTGGCGAGATCGGCAAGTGGAGTACTTGGTGGCGTGGGAAGGAGAGCCCTTGTCGGA